GGAGCCTTTGCAGGGGAATTACTGCTCCGGGAGACGTGCTGGGTGCTGCAGCGAGGCCCTGCAGCACGAGGCACTGCAGCCCCTGGTGCCTGCACCAGCGAAGCCGACGTGTTGGCAGCAGATCCTGTGTCCAGCGCGCTGGATCCCGACAGCTGCCGAGGGGACGGAGGTGCCTGGGAGCCTGGCCTGGTCCCAGATGGCATCGCTGCAAGTGGGGCTTGATGGAGCTGTCTCGGGGGCTCAGGTATAGCCCAGGTACCACAAAACCATCCCCATGTTGCCTGTCAGCCTGTGTGGTTATTGCCACAGCAGTGACCACAGAGCAACCGACAGAGACATTTTACATTTTTAAGTAGCCGGTGACAACCAGCTAACACCACCACACACACACTCACAGGGGCAAAAAGGCCCGAGGAGGAGCCTTGTCATCCCAGACAGCACCACCAGAGGCCACCTCATTTCTCTGTGCTGAGCACTCAGCTCTTCCACCCTGGGAAATGCTTCTCTCTCGCGTGTGGTTTTGGAAGGAGGTTTGAGCAACAGTGCGTCAGCTAAAGCCTAAGGATCATTTTAGGATGTTCGGGCATTCCCGGCTTTCACTCACAGTTTAACGAAAGGGTCCGAGTATCCGTTGGCGTCCATGGCCGCTAAATGCACGCAGCGCACGATGCCGACGATCAAGCCGCCCTGCTGGGTGCTGTACATGAGCGACACGAGGATCTTCCCGCGTTCTTCCACATCCCCGCCACGATCTACCTGCAAGAGGAAGCAAAAGGAGGTGCCCTAAGCGAGGGGCGCCAGGAAAACAGCTCCAGAAACACAGCAGCTACAGTCAGTGCTCTCTGCAGAGCAGGCAAAGGGAAACGGCGAGAGGAACTTTGCAGCAGAACCTCCGTGAAGGCACAAGAGGGGCTCATACATGAGAGATCATTGACCTAACGTGCAGAAAACACGTTACGCTCCGAGGACGAGGCAGCCTCTTACCTCTTCTTCATACAGTGCCATCCCACGAGATGAGCCGGTCGTTCCAGCACGCTTCATCTTGAGTTAGGAAGGGAACAAAGAGAGACTTCCATGAATAACTGCAGCTGAGAGCAGCATTGCCCTATGGCAAAAACACTCCCACATGGAGGCTGGGAGCTCTGCAAAGCTCTTTCATTGATCTCAGGAGTGGAAGGGGGCTCAGATCAAGATTCTTTTACTCTGATAATTTCTTCTTCCCCAGACTTAGTACATCACTCAGAGCACCGGGGAGCAAAGCGCAGACAGGCAACAAACTGCCCGCTCCTCTCCAGCAACATAAATCAGCAAAGGCTGGCAAATGTCAGAAGATTTTTCAGCCACCACAGAGATCCCCAAAGGGCTGAGTCACTTTCTGAAACGAGCTCTTCACATTAACTATTAATCGCTCTTAATTCAAGAAGGTCAGTTGCTTTCATTTGCTTTTTCTAATCTAGGCTACTTCTCCAAGAGCAAAGTTCTGCCTTTTGTTTCTGTCACTGGAATCAAGGGAGCGCTGACCTCCTTGTTTCAGATTCATACAATTTTAACTGAAACTGGATCCCTGCATTCCCACCACATGTCTGTCCCTTGGCTTTAATATGTCACATCAGCCCAGACCCCGAGACATGAGAGTCCAACTCTGCAAGATGTCAATGAACCCTAGGCATGAAGATGCCTTGGATTGTACCAGTTTCAAATTCACCACTCACATGCCATTTATTTGCAATCTCAGAATTAATGGTGCTAGAAAAGAGTTTCTTAAACTCACTGGTATTACTCTCTCCAAGCAGATGTTGAAGTTCTTTTTCTGATTGGGTTTCAGTTTTTTCAGGGAAACTCTAGTTTCGCCAATAAACTCATTGTGGCCAAATTTGTCTTCATCACACACAGAGATCCTGAAGGGAACATGAAAGAGAACATCAAACCGGCAGGAGCAGCACCTGATTTGGGAGCACATTAGCATCCATGTAGAAAACACTCCAGCAAGATTGCTGCTCAGAGGGTGGACAAAGCAAAGTAATATCTAACTCTGCAGGCATCTGGCTCTCCTTTGAACAAAGTCACTCAGAAAACAGGATTTCTAGTTTGCTGTTAAAAAATAAACAAACAAACCCACAAGCATTTTGATGTTTCTTACAGAAAGGAGATGCTGAAGATTTTTGGAAACATCCTAACATTTTGCTAGGATACTGTCAAATCAGGTAGAGAAATACATAAATACAGGATAAATAAAACTACATAGTGATAAGATTAATAGTGATAGCAATAATTTGATATTAAGTGAGAAGGTCCAAACTGCTTTCATTTTCCTTTTTAAAAGAACTAATAAAATTGACATATTCGTGTGAAGGATTTTGTCAAAAACTCTGCACTTTCAGATGCTCTGTTAAAAACATGCACTTTGCTGCCAGGGCCCTCTCCCGGTGTTTGCAAGGAGGAGGGTTTGGAACGCTCTGCACCGAGAGCTGGACTTTCCTCCCGTGCTCCTCTACTTGCCTGAGCGTTTTCCTTTGCATGTCCTCGTCTGTGATGCCGTGATACACCAGGGTCTCGTTCCACACGGGGTTACGGGTATTGCGCAGAGTCTTCGTTCGCAATTTATTTGACTGTTGCATAAAAATAAAATACAGTTACAGTGGCCTGAATTCATCCCCGTGTAAATTTAGGTTTCTGAGACAGGAGTAGAGATCAGAAGCTCCATCACCTTTGGCTCATTAGAGAACAGCATGGGAAATAAAGGTGATTTGACTGGGGATTATCTTAAAAAGATTGCTCTTCCCAGAGACATTTATTTCACACTCATAGGAGGATTCTGCAAGACTTCACTGCTGCCTGCTAATCTCCCTGCACCAAGGAGGTACAAAGGCTATGTAAGCATCCGTGGGCCAAGGTGGACCTTTATACAAACACAGGGAGCTTTAACCTCCTGCCTTTTTGGACTATCTGGGATCTACTCACCCAAAGAGACTTGAACAAGAAAGAACATATTTTTAATAGATATACTGCATTCAAACTAAAATGTCTCCTAATATTCAAAGTCTTTTTTGTCCTTTAATCTGATTGTGTTTGTGCTTCCCACCAGATAGACAACCCACAGTATGGGAGCAGGCTGGACAGAGCCTGGGTAATGGCCTTTGAGGCCTCAAGTAAGAAAACAGCCAGTGGAACAGGACTTCTGGGTGCCTCTGACACTCGCTCGTGTCTTTTATGAACATCTTCTGGGGCTGGTGAGATGTGGAGGAAGCACACAAAGGAAATCAGCAAATCTCAATTCAATGATTTTAATATCTATTTCCCTAATTTTGCACTTGCTTAAGCAAAACTCAGCTACAGGGGAGCGCTTTGCATCCCCAGGGCAGGGCAGCATTCCTTGGGCACGGGGCTGGCAGTCTGCATTCCTCCCTAAAAGATTTCTCCATTGAGTTTAATTTGTTTAGAATGGGGAGTGAGATTTACAGAGCTCTCTGTGATGAGGGGGGTAGAAGAGTTTACTCACTTAATGGTTATTTTTTACAGCTCTAATTAGAGCATGCTGCAGCTTCAAAGTAAACCAATCTTTCAAACTCCACTAATAATTAGATTTTGTGTCAGATGTTTTGCAATGCATTAACAATGTCACCCTTTCTGAAGCTCCTCTGCAGTCTACATTCCTGTTTCAAGATGAGCTTTGCCACATTCATTTCCTCAGAATGCCTGTGGCGCACCAACAATCACAGAACTGTGAGAAAATACTCTTATACCATCAGAAAGGGCACTGAATTGAACTTCTGTTCTCTGTATTCGCCTGCCTCCAGTTCAAATTCCTCCCAGATGAAGCTGATATGGTATGTTTACAGATAGACCTGCAGAAAAAGACCTACCTTTTCAATAAGACGAGCCATGAAGCACATATTTATCCCCTATATGAGGCTAAATACTTGTAGAAGGCAAACTGGTCCATCCGTGCCTGACTTCCAGAGAAAAGCAGAATATTTTGCTTCACTGATGAACTTGGGCACTTTACCTCTCTAGTGCACACCAAAGAGTCTGCAAGAATTATCAACTTGCAGAGATACCATGAAGACTGTCTGCTACTCCCAGCGAATTGAGATCCTCAGAGCTTTGCAGTGACCTTCTCCCAAATCTCCATACATTTCTGGGCATCTCAGAGGTCTTTCAGAAACCTCTATCCTGTTTTCAGACCCAGTATCCAACGCATCCACATCACACAAGGAATTACCTTACTGGCTCCAGGCAAGAGGTGTAGTTTTACATAGGGATCAGCCAGGCCATTTGAATCCATTGGTTTTAAGCCCTAAAACATAATAAAGGAAAGACTGGGTATGAATCATCTTTAAGCAGAGCTAGAGAAAGGAGAAAAATCACCAAGTGGTTACTACAAAGCAAGTTGGGTCCTTCTGGGACCCAATGATTAGAAAAAAACATAGACCACCCCTCACTGTTGGCAATATTGGGGAAGCTGGGAACCAGATCAGATTTAGGACTGTAAAGAAAGGGACAACCTAGCTGAGAGTCATATGTGTGTCCAGGGTGACAAGACACTTCTCTGCACAGCGGGCAGAAAAGCATCTCCTCCCCAAAGCAGGCACTTACTTTAGCTTTGATGAGCGTGCAGTGCAGAGAGCTGTTTTCCTGGTCATATAGTAGGCTGAACTCCAGTGCTCCCAATGTAGCTGGTGATAGAGAGAAGACGAAAACACAGGATATGACTTTATTAAAACCCCAGCCAATATCTGTGTTTAATCATCCCTGATTTGCAATAATTAGGAAGATTTGCTGTTCAAATTTAAAAGCCACTTAAAGCGTGCGAGACTACTGGCATCAGCTAAATCGCCACAGAGAAATCTAGCCAAATTCATAAGCTCTGGCCATCAAAGCATGACAAGGGCAGACTTGGCCAGGATACAGGAAGGGCAGCTTGTGTCTTTTTTGCTGACATTAATATTCAGCAGGCAAAGAAAGATGCACCAGGACAAACAAAACCTTCCGTGGCTGTAGCGCAGGGAGGTCTCAGCACCACGTTGCAAACGCGTGTGGGCTCAGGGGGCAACATCTCCAAGGGATGGCACTCGGACCAAGGTTGGAGCGTGCATTGGGGTCAAAGAATTTGGTGTAAAAAATGACTGCAAAAAACAGAAGCTGAGGGGAGGGCAGCAAGTGCAGAGGTGGCTGCGAGACCTGGCCCAGGTGCCGTTTCCCCCGAGCGCCTTCGTGCTCCTTCCTCACTGCTGACTCGGGGGCTGCATTTTGGGGAGAACTCGCCGATTCCA